TGGAGCACCTCTCCTATGAGGACAGGCTGAGGGAGTTGTGGAGGGTCAGCGTGGAGAAGAGAAGGCTGCAGGGAGACCTTACAGCAGCCTTCCAGTACTTGGAGGGGGGCCTATAGAAAGGATGGAGAGGGACATTTTACAAGGGCATGTAGTGACGGGACGAAGGGTAACGGCTTCAAACTGAAAGAGGGTAAAGTTAGATTAGATAAAAGAAGGAAATTCTTTACGATGAGGGTGGTGAGGCACCGGAACAGGCTGCCCAGAGAAGCTGTGGATGCCCCCTCCCTGGCAGTGTTCCAGGCCAGGTTGGACAGGGCTTTGAGCAGCCTGGTCTAGTGGAAGGCATCCCTGCCCACGGCAGCGGGGCTGAAACAAGATGATCTGTAAAGTCCCTTCCAGCCTACACTGTTCTATGATTTGACATGTTCCCAGCTCACCTGCTGCCCCATGCTGCTGGCGGCTCCCCACAGCCCAAACCCATGCAGATGTTTGTGAGCCCCCGCTGGGAGCTGGACTCGCCAAATGAATCAAGTTTGAAGAAAACAGCACTATTTTATTCCACAAAAAACACAACTGTAGCCCAGATCAGCCCTTGATGCAGTCTGCAGCATGGGCCCACAATGACACGAGTCAGCACAGATGAGGCAGCAAATGGGTCTCCACTAACGGGATGGGCAGGGACTTCCTACACTCCTGTCAATCTTTCTGAAGCCACAACCCTGTAAAATGGGCTCTCCACGGATCTGTCAAGCCTTGATTGCACCAGCTTTCCTTTCTGTACAGTGCTGTTTCATTTTACTCACATCACACCTATCTGAAACTATTTTTCTTTCATAATTCTATGTCCCCTAAGTACATGACAAATATAGTCTGAAATTATCTGGGATTGGGCAGCTTGTTAAATGCCTTTTCTGGCTTTATAAATAAACTATCGCTGCTTTATGGTTTAATATTAGGGATATTCTGTTCTTCCACTTCACAAAACAAGTAAACAGACAATTTTTACACCTAAGCTATGTTTTGCAATAGTGAAATCCTGAATTGTAATGAGCGGCTAAGGACAAACAGGACGTATTTTAATGTAGAAATGTGCTAGAAACAACAGCATACGAAATGACCACAAACTGGCAATTAGAAAGAAAGGTACAAACTGGGGACGTCTGAAGTCAGAGAGATGAAACTGGGGTGGGGTTTCAGAATTTCAGCTGAAACCCCAGGAAATCAGCCAGCATGTTGTTAAGCCCATAGACACCTGTATTTTAACTGTGGCAGGACGACAAAGTGCTGCCTGTCTTGGGACATCCGTGGAGATGGGAAGGGATTGTTCAGCCACTGAACGGAGACGTGAAAGGGCGACTTGCACTTCCAACAGCATCCCCCTCCAAGCTGATATCCAACCCAAGCTTCATGGGTGCAGGACTGTGCCCTGGTCCTCATGGACCAGCTCAGACACGTCTCCACTGCAAACCCCTGAGAGGTATAATCCAGGTTTTCAAAGGTATTTAGATGCTAAAGACCAGGAGGTGTCCAGTAGGACTTCGGATATACTACAGTAGACAGGTGGGTGGTGTCCAATGGAAAACGCTAACCGTAGTGGAAACTTTATCAAATTCTGCTGGGAGCCTGGGTCAATTGGCGGTGCTGAAATAGCTGGGAGAGACTGTTGCTACTCACACATGAAATCTGCTGTAAGACTGGGAAGTGAACCCTCCTCTCTCCAGTCTTGGACTAGAAGTGCAAACACCATCACTCTTCCTCTCGTGAGACTTTCCTTCATAACACTTTCTCAATTATGAACAGGCCAGTCAATGAATAGGGGGAAATCAATAGCCTGGCTGTGTCAAGAGTTTTAGATATTCAGGACAGGAAACTTAACCCTTCTGCTGATGCTCTTCCATAAAGCATTAATAATTTTCAACTATTCCCCTTTATTTGTCTAGTCAGCCAAGATAAATCTAGCTTTGCAACTCTTCTGATACCTGTTCATTACAAAAGGCTAATGCAAACATTACCCTAACAGCCTAGGGAGAATTTGCCAAGTCTCAAAGTGGCTGAGAAGGGCACTGGTGCCATGCCAGTAATCTTCCTGCAGTCAATAAGACAAATTGTCTGGAGCAGTACTTAGCTGTCCACATGTCTGCCTTTGTTCTCGTCCCTTTCTTTAAAGAAAATAAAAGTTTAAAAATCACTCTACAAGAAAACCAAAGCAACCACCTCACACATAGCCAAAAAAAAAACCCATAGTGAAAAATCCCACAGACAAAAACACCGAAATGAATTTCATCAACCCCTTTCAAAAGATACAGACAAAAACATTTTCAGTAGTAAATACAGGTAGCATCTTAACTGTTTAATTATCTTGAATCTTAAATTTCTTTAAAAACTTCAACATCATGTTTAGTTATATTTAATTCAATGGAATATAGTTTAGTATATTCCTGGAGAACTGTAAATAATGGTCAGAGGCCAGATATGACACATTGTAAATAAAGAATCACATTCAATTGTTCAATTATGAAATTATTGTTTTTGTAATAATTAAACAGTCACCCCACAGTAATGTCCTATCTTTCTTTAATAGTAAAGTACTAAAAAAAGAAGGAGAAAAAACCTGTGACCTCCTGCATAAATTTAACCTCATTCTTGTTTTTCATCACCTGCCCTTTCTGACTGAGCTACAGTGCAGCTTTCTGGCTTCAGTTCATACTGGAAACATAACTGGTTTTGAATAGGAGTGCAGCCACATGCCTCCCATCTCTGCTTTCTTACATCTCTCTGCCAGGATGGTCTACTGCCTCTTTGGGCCTAGGGTCTTTTAAGATACTTCAAAAAATACAAGACACCAAGTAAATTGCCAGGCATATATGCAAGTAAAACTGCATTTAGAAATGCAAAGTAGAAGACACAGCTATTGCAAGACGAAAGCAGCTGCTTTTATTTATTCAAACTCTTAATATATTCAAATTGCTGAGTATCTGGTTATTTTCTTGGAAAACATCACCATTTATAATGAAGCATTCTTTGAAAAAAAAAAAAAAACCAAATCAGCAACAAATAATAATCAGGATTTCTTTTTTTTACTGAGTTTATGATAATTTCTCCAAGGCAGTACAGAGAATGCTATTTGATCAATCAAGTCATTAAGTTTTTAATCTCAAATATGCTTAATATTGAAAAGAAAAGAAAATGAAAAGAAAGAGAAAGTAATTTATTTCCCTTTTCTCCCTTACACAACAAGATTTTTGTATTATCTCAGTTTCAGTACCTAATGGCACATGGGAAACTCCGACATACATGAAAACTACACACATTAAAGAGGAGAAATAACGTAATGAGACATCAATGTCAGAGATGCATTTCTACACCTAAGTACACATTTGTTCAACAGACTTCAAAAAAGAGAAAGTATCTGGTAATATGTACTGATGCTTCTCTGGTGAGTTAAATGCTAACGATGCCCTTCACTAAACACACCCACAATGGTAACTGCATTTTGTGGCACTCTTGTTACCTAACACAATTCTTTTCTTTTTCTGGCCAAGATGAAAGCAGAGTTTGACATGAATTTTTAAGTAGCTGTCAGGATGAATCAGAGATTCATAAATCAAAGGTATTCAAGGCTGCAGAGCATGGATTTTTTTTCTTCTTTTTTTGGCTTAAGAAACATTTAACATATCAGCGCGCTCTCGGTACGAGCCAACCACAACACAAACAAAGCAGAACTTACAGGCATTTGGGATGATTTAAGTCCCTTTAACTTGCTGAAGCGTATTTGCCTAACCAAATGTTTCTGGGTGGAGAACACGTGCTGCTGGTCTTCAGGCAGCTATTCTGCTCCTGGGCCCTGCCTCCCAAGGCATGAGGCAGGAGAGCCACCGGCACAGCTGTCGGTGGGCGTTGAAGAGGCCCCGGCACTGCTGGCTCCTGAAGGGGAGCTGTGGACAGGCTCAGCGGGTGTCCCAGTCACCAGGCCAAGCGTGCAGCCCTGCGGCTGATCCATCGATGGCACAACAGCCACCCCGAGCTGTGGCTACTTTGTTATCTTACAAAGAGTTGCTCTGGAATTTCTAGTTCTTGACATACTAAATCCCCCAAGCACTGTACCTTCCTGAGTGGGTCATCCTGGGTGCTTCTGCTCCCCAGCTGGCGGGAGGAGTCGTCTCATCTCCTTGCAAGCTGATAACAGCGGAGCGAGGGGAGATGGAGAGCGAGTCTACAGCAGGCGCCAGCCACTCTCCGACACCTACACGTGGCAGCAGACAACAGTGTTGCGAAGCAGTGATGAAGTCAAAGCGTGTTTTCAACAGCAAGATGCATGTTTAAGAAAAAGACCTGGAAGACCCTCTCCAAACCTTCCTCCTCCCCACGGTACTTGGCTGCTCTTCAGCTAGGATGCTTTTATGGAAAATTGCAAACTTTTTCAAGTGTAACAATGTACTCATGGTGACAGAGGAAAAGAAAGACTTCAGCTCTGTAACAGCGGCTTTTGTAGCATAAAAGAACAGATCTTATGGCCAGAAGACGTATGTGTATTTTCCACCTTGGCTATATGCTGTGCTGACAAGCCTGCGATATTTCTTGATTCTACTCTGGGAGCTTCAGGAGTGACACTGAAAAGGGTCATCTGTTCTCCTAATTAGCAGTCAGGCCCAGCAGTGGCAGGCTGCTGCTTTAAAGCTTTGTCAGTTTTTGATGGAGGCTCTAAAAAGTGGTATGTTTCTGACACATCTTTGAAGAGACGATTTAATTCTTCATGCTTGGCAACTGCCAAAAGTCCGTTAGAGAAATAATTAACTGAATTATTTGAATAGATTTCCAATTTGGGAGGCATACAGAGTCTTCTCCGAGATAGCCTATCAAGATGTAAATAAGGATTTCTCTTCTGTTGTACATCAAAATCAAGTACTAGCACTTCCTTTTACGGATTTTGTAACTGAAAACTCAAACACTAGAGTTCAGAAATTGCCCTGATAAAAGCGACAATGTTCAGTCCTGCTCGGAGCCCAGGAATAGAAACCTCGCAGGAGGGTGCAAGAACCTAAGCAACTCTTCCTTTACTTCTTGAAGAAATTATTTCATTTTTAGGAAACCACTTTGGTAACTACCACCTATTAGAAAAAAGCAAACAAAACGCAGATCTAAACAATTTGACAGCCTGCCTGTGCCCAGCTTTGGAGCACCCTCCCTGGGCTCAGCCCGCAGTCTGTGGGTCCTGCCAGCCCCATGCAGCATGAGCCAATTAGTCAGTGGTGCTTCCTCCGAGCTCCGCAGCGCCCGCTCCGCACAAGGACTCACTGTGCTGCCAACCATGCGAGTGCTTTCCTGCCGTAGCTCCTGCTGTTGCTTGTATCTGTGTGAATGGATTTCATGGTATGATCTGGGTGATATGTAACACTTTAAAGCCAATTTGGAGCAAAGCACAGACATTTTTTATAGAATAATATATTTGTTTCTCCAGAACAACAGTTCAGCTGCAAAATCAGTACTGAAATGAATGAAAAGGAATCCACAGTGACAGTGCTGTAGTTGTGATTGTTTAAGCTACAACCAAGAATGGTCTGTTGGGCTATTAGAACACACTATCTTTTGCTACAGACCTTATTCTCTTTGAAAATACTACTGCTTTATAATCATGTTTAGTTTCTTTACAATTAAATTATGTGGGAAGTGGTATATAGGTTAATCAGATGGCATTTAAATTGAATTTTAATGCCATGTAAATTTTCCCAATATTTTCACAGTTGCAGTAAGGGTTCCAAGTTTTTAAGACCATCCAACGAGAGTTTGAACTTAGTTCTTCTGTTCTGTATGGTGCACTTCTAAATCAGCCAGAATATCAGCTGTTGCCTGTTTTTTTCCTTTCAAAATAAACGTAGGCTTAAATTGCATTTTTGTGAACTCAAAAATTACTTTTGGAAACCAAAGCAATTATTTTAGAAAAGCTGATTTTTGAGCTTCACCCATTTCCGCGTAGCAGCAGCGTAATATTGTCTAAACAATGTCGTAGACTCTTATGTAGGACAGATGGGAAGCATAAGCAGGAACTCCTTTATGGGGCATTCATGGCATTGGACTTAAATTGAAGTATCAGTAAATGAGACTGTAGTAAAAATTGGCAAAGAGAAGAGCAATATTTAGTAAGTAACAGTAATAGATAGTCAATACACCATATATCATAGGTGAAATTACTACAAACTGTCATCTATAATCTCATGCATAAACTGTCTCAATGCCAGAGGACTAGAAAGGACACCAATGTCTAATGAGGTTTCATAACAGACATCAGCAACTACAGATCAGGTTGTCCAAAGTTATTCAAGGAGGTTCCTCACCAAAGACTCTTAAGCAAAAAAGGCAGCTCTGAATAAAATAGGAAGGGCCTCATATGAGAAAACAAAGAGTTAAAAGACAGGATCTTGGTGTTCAAAACACCAGAGCACCACAAGTACAAAGCCACTCAGGGACCACAAACTGCTGGAGGCTGGGAGAGCGATTCTGGGGAGCAGGACTAGATGCTCAACCCACACTTACACTCTTCCCCAAGCAGCTGCTGTTTGCCATTACGAGAAACAAGACGCTGGGGCAGATGGACCCTTTGTCCTCAAACCATAGACTTGCTTTTATGTCAACTGGGAACTGAGAGTTGTATCTCCCCTGGAGAGAAAGATTAAGTCAAGTCATGACAGTGAAAAAACAGAGCCAAAGTCAGAGGTTGGATTATGTCCTAAAGTCCCTCTCTGAGCTGGAGTGGGGAAACCAGTAATGAACAAGAAAAGACTGGGGCTGAGACAGCTGATGCCTCTTGCTTCTCAAAGCCCCAGTCAGGGCCTGATCCAAGGCAGATGGGTGTGCTTCCTATGGGCAGGCAGGAGGGTGGGTTGGTGGCTCAGAGCTGCGCACCACACATGCGAGCATCAAGGGTTCAGCTGCAACCACTGGGGTACGATCACAGGCGCAAAGCAGAGGAAAGCAGCAGCAAGATGGGAGATGCCCCTGCAAGCCTGGAGAGGTGGACGGCATCACCCTCTACACTGAACACCAACCTGGGTCCTGCACATGGTCCTGCCCACCTCTTCTTTTAGTGCCATCACAGAAGGGTATCACTGTCACCAAGGGCAAGGGATTGGTGAGGTTTTGGCAAGGATTTCACCCCACAGTGAGGGGAGGCTGCAGAATGAGATGCAGAACTCTTTTGGACCGCCTGCCCCTTGGTGCCCCCCCAGCAGCAGCCCCTCCCTGCACCTTGCCAGCTGCAGGGGCAGAGCTGCCAGCCAGGAAAAGAGAGCAGGACCGTGACCATTCTGTGTCCCCACTGCTAAAACTGAGACACGGCAGGCAGGCAGAGCTAACCCCCTTCTAGGGTGTCAGCCTGAGAGGAAAAAAAATGCAGGGGAAGGCCAGAAGCAAAGACAGCATAGCAGCACGTAGCCCCGTTTTTGTGGCTATCAAGCTACTGAAGTTATCAGCACACAAGTTTTCACCATATACCCTTTTTTCTGTTTTACTTTAGAGCCTTTGCTTTGCAATGACGTGGGTGCCTTCACCTCCTCCCTCCCACATGTCCAATTTGTTTTCCTTCTCTGTTTAAAAGCAGAGAGATATTTCCTTCAACTTATCCTCTCCCTCATTTCCCGCTTCTCCTTGGCACTGTTAGCACTTGCCTTGGTCCTTTGCCCATCTTCCAAAACATTTAACTGTAAATCAGGTTTCCTTAAAAGGCAAATGCAGCAACTACAGAGAGAGGAGCGACACCTTTTCCCTAAAGCACTTTTCCCATTTGTAAAAGAAGGATACTCTTCTATGCAAACTATTTTTTTTTTCTCAGACAAGCTTATTGCCACAAAATGCTTTTCATTGCAGAAGCACAAATACCTAGCGGGATAATTAAGTGACCTGTAAAGAAACAAGACCTACTGATGTTAATGACTGGCTACAGTATTCAAGTAATGGATACAAAAGTTTTCTATTCGGTCCTGAAGTGTACAACAACAACCACCAGCAGAGCTGCTCTCGGTTCATTTCTTTTGATGCTAAAACAAGGAGAGGCAAGATGCTTCTAGCTGTGATCTTTCCTGTGAAAAGCAGTCTCAGCCACTGTTTATTACTGTTTAGGGACAAAGAAATTTCTGTTCATGTTTTTGTAATCAATGCTGATCTTGCCAAGGCAGTAAGAGCTCAGAATATATTGACTTCCTCTGATTTTATGCAGAAACTGCAGCAAAGGAAACAGAAGTAAGAAGCTACAAAACTCACAAAATCAAATTCAGCATGATAGCTGCATTTTTCCTGGGCTTGACTCCCACAGTGTCAGCTCATCAATCTGCTGAACTAACCAATGCTAATGAACTGATATGGTGTTACTTATTAACACTTAATTACCGAAAACGTGTGGTTCTCCAAGAGGTTTCCTCAGACCCCAGCCCAACCCAAGGCATACATTTTTGAGACTCTTGTTACCTTAACCAGGATAGTACTTCATTATAACTACTAATCTTTTGTACTGAAGACTTCTCTAGAAATCTCCCCTGGTTTCTAAACAATATACACCGTTAATGGCCTTTCCCACTTGTTACAAGTTCTCTGTTCTGGAATTTGCACTGCAACACACTATGATTGTTTACATGTACAAGGTGGCCAGACAGACTCCTTCATGCAGGCCTTACAGCTAGGATATGCTCCAACTCAAAAATGCGCTACAGGTATAATTTATTAGTAAAATACAACCTTTTCAGAGTTGTGGCAAAACACACCCACTGTCTAAAGCAGAAGCTGCTTTGCTATATTCAGTGGAATTGTGCCAAAAGAAAATATGCCTTAATTAACATCTTACGTAGTCAGGGTAAAGCACAACGCAAACACAAGCCAGTTACCGTGCCTGGCGCTCTTAGAACAGGTATAAATATATTTTCATTTACAAACAGGGAAACTAGAGCAAGTGAGTTGAACGACTCAGCAATGGTTCTTGAAAGATAAGGGCAGAGGATCTAAATCCCAGCCTCACCCCCAACAGGCAAGCAGCATCAATACTCCTCCAAAAAGGCAGGATGAATAAGCAAATGGCTGGAGATGCTCACAACTTCCTCGGACGCAGGGGCAGGGCTCAGCACAGCCCTGCCTGCTCGAGGTGCCCTTCCCTCGGCTACCGGGGCAATTCGACAAGAGCTGGTAGATGCTGTCATTGTCCACTCCCTGCCTGGGGACACACGTGCCGGGTTTGTCACTGTACCCCTGCTTTAAACCCTCCTTCCTTCAAACTATGGATCCCTCCCCAGGTAAGCCTGTATTTGCGTGAATCAGGATGCACAGAACATAGCATAAAACCAGTTGGCTGACCATACTCGAAGGGTTTAGGAAGGTGGTACCCCTCGCCATTTGCGGCTGTACCCACAACACACTACATGGTGAACTGCTGGTGGCCAAGAAGGGCCCGAGCTGGAGAACTCTGGCAAGAAGCACAGCTTCCCGCTGCAAACACCAGGCCAGCTACCGCTAGTACAGCTGGCTGCAGTAGGCACCTGCAGTTCCTCCCTCCAAACTTTAATCTCATACCTGGACAACACGTGAACATGTTTGGTAGAAATACAGCTTGCAGGTGTGCAAAGATGCATCAAATACTCAAAGATAAAACAAGTGAAACAAATTAACGACACTGGAACTAACTGGAGCTGCTGTTTGCATAATTAAATAACCTGTATGGAATTATGTCCTCCTAATAGAGTTATGTGCTGTTTATGTTTTGCAACTTTATGAACAAAGAATATTGAAAACACAGAGAAAATTAGGAAAGACGCATGAGACTACACACAGAAAACATGTAGCCATTATTATGCATATTAATTACAGATTTTCATCTATATTTAGAGAATGAGTGATTTTTTTGATGTAGTGACATATTCCGCCTATTTACTCATAATATCTGAGAAAGTGTTAAAAAAGTATCAGTGCCATATGCAAAATAAACGTTTTAACCTGGAGAGTAAAGTATCATTAGGAACTTTCTAAGCCACTAAAAAAAAAGAGAGGGAGAGATAGACACATGTGCAAAAATCTCATTTCAGCTGAAACGCCTGAGTTCTAAAATGATGTTTCAAACACTTTTAACACAGCTGAAAATACCTCTTAAACCCATGAGGCTCCATCTGCAACCCTCACTGAAAACTATTCATTACAGGAAATAGATGGGGACCAGACGAGGTTTTCTTAATCACCGGTTATCATCACCGGTCCCCATGACTGGGACTACACCAGTTTCCAGCACAAGCCTGAGCAGCTCCAAAGCACTGCGGCACCCACGGGCTGGAGAGGGCCCCCAGGCCACTGCAGAGCCCCTGCTGCAGAGCTGCTCTGACCCTCAACTTCTCCTGCACCCTCCCCGTGCAGCAGGCCATCCCACCAGTCAGCAGAGCTCCCGCTGAAGGTCTTCTACTTCGGCACCCGAATTACTAAGCAGGGGCAGCTCAAGGGGTGCCTTAACTTCCCTGCAAGCCCCTCTCTCCCCCTTCCATGCTGACCCAAGGGCTGGGCACCACGGGCTGCAGGCTGAGGAGAAGGGACATGGTGACACTGTCTGCTGCTTGGAGAGGCATGACTGTACACACCCTCGTCCTGCACCTTCACACCTGCTAGGCGGATCTGCCCTACTGGGCACCCGTTCTTCTCCAGAGAAGGTAAAGCTTCACAGAAGTGTCCCCCAGAATCCCTCGCCTACAAATCCAACACAGAAAATCCCCAAACCAAGAGATGAAGACAACTCTGCTTGAAGCCACAGAGTACAACCCTGGTGGCTCTGCGTGGGCCGGAGCGGTTTGCTGTTTAAAAAGCACAGACAATGAAAGAGTAAAGACCTAGAAAACAGCACAGCACGTCTGGTGTGGTTTTCAGCAACGTTGCTGGGCATGTTCCAGTTCAAGTGACCCTGAATTAGCTGGGCAAGAAACAGGTTTGGAGCAGCAATCTGGGAACTTTGTAGAATTACTTCAGGGGATTTCCTCTTTCCTCACTCTGATAAAACTTCCTCAGAGGTGCAAAAGCACTAACCGCTTTTATCGCTCTGTGCAGGGGGATGGGATTAAAAATAACTGATAAGAACAATGATAAGAAAGAAAACAGTGAAAATAAATGGTAAAAACAAGACCAAAGGACAAATAAGCCAAATCTCTGGCAGAGGGCCAGGAATACACCAGCAGAATGAAACAAGCCAAATCTGAGGCAGGGTATCACCAACACACTGCCAAACTCTCCAAAATTGCTGCACATTCCTCAGTGCCATCAGATTCTTATGGGAGTTGTGTAGACCTCTACGATATGTGCCCTTAGTCATCTCTCTTCCAAGCTGAAAGATCTCCATCTTAGTCATTCCTCATACGGAAGCCATTCCATACCTTTAAGCATACTTTTCCATACAGGGGATGGATAGGTTTGGTTAATAGTGGAATATTTGCCAACACTTTTTAAGTTGCTGCCATCTTGAAGACTTTCCCAGGAAGCAAAAAGGCTTCAGTCGTTACTCTCAGTCCAAGTTGTAGCCACAAGCCTGAACCTTCTTTGTCACCTCAGGTTAGTGTCCCAGGGATGATGGATGCTGCAAGTCTCTGTACCTTCTGCAAAAGCGGCAGTCTAGCTTTCATGTAGAATTAGACCTCTTTTATTTTTAA